ACCTCAAACTTGGGTAATTAAACCAAATAGAACATCAATCGCCTCATACATTCTCTCCGTTGTCGTAGTTGTGCTGCGTGGAATATGTTTCTGTGTTGATCATAGAGTTATTCATCATTCTATGGTACTGATAGATAACATGAAGTAATGACTATCATGATCCTTCCGATCCTTTCCTATGTTTCTGTTATAATGCCGCTTTTCAGCAGCTTTCCAAAATTTCCCTCATTGAGTGCGAAGACTCAGAATGAGAAAGTGCTTCATTTTTTTTTCTTTGTTCGTGTGGAATGGAGAATAGAAAGTATTTATTGTACAATAGGTTACAACTACAAGTTCTGTACATATTCGGTTTTTAAATATATTTGTTCGTTATATTAAGAAAAGATAATGTATTCACCGGTCTTGAACATCGTTTGCCTTGGAAAGTATATCGTAGCAATACCCGTATATGTCACGAGGCTTGATTATTTTTCTATATTTTTGACGATTTTTCGCCGTTCTAGACTGATTCTAATCCTGAATCGTGGGCTCCTATTGAAGAATTAGGTGAAATATGATGATAAATTCTGGTCTGTGGTGGAGGCATTGTTGATCTGTAGTTGTATCTGCCTGTTCCTATAGACGATGAAGAATCGAGAGGAGACGTAGTAGTTGCTGTATCCGATTTTGTTTGCCAGTATCCTAGGTTTCGGTGAAGTTCCCAGGGCATATCATATCTGAAACAACAAAAACGAATATAACTGTCACACAGAGTATAAAGCTTCAGCGTATGTGAAGTTTTCGCGTTGAGTATACCTACCTAGATTCGTCATCTGTTTTGACAAGAGCTGGCGAGTACGGTAAATGATAACGAGGTTTAACAGATATCTGGCGCGTCGAACGGGAAAAACTGCAAAAAATAGATTATCTTCGCTTTTTGCGATAGATTACTTCTTCTGTCTCATGAAAGCCACCAGAAGACATCCGAAAGCAGCTGATGTACATACAGCAATCGCTGCTAATGCAAGCATTCCAATGTGCATAAGTCGATCTTCTCCACGCAAAGGGGCTAGAATCGACGCTGAGAAAACAGAAAGTTCGTCAGGAAGCTGAAATGAGAAACGTGAGGGATCTATCAGGATTATCAAATGTTAAAATAATACAGAGAACAACTGAAAGGTGCATTGATTAAACAATGTGAATGAATATCACTCGGGCAAAATTAAACAATTATCAAACAAATAAATTATTAATACCTCTTGGCCGATAATTGTCATATCATTCGGGTCCGGGCAGGTTGGGCAACGTTCAGTATGCTTTTCAATAGTTAAAGTGGCATTGAAGCATTTACCTCGTATCTATAACTCGAGAGAATTATAAGTAAACCATGTTTTTATATTAGAAAAAGTTGTTTTTTTGTTATTCATTTTCAAATGATTATTAAATTGATCTTAAGAGTAAGAAGAACTAACCTCAATGATACTCTTGCCTTTTTCATCTGTCGTTTCCATATTATGACGTCGTGAACGCGTATGAATCTGTAATTGTAAAGTATTATTTAAAGAGTTTAAATGCTTATTAAGATATGTGGTGAGCAATCAGATAATATTTAGAATATTTGAATATGACAGGAGAAAATTTTGAGAGAGCTCATGTAGAGAAGTATGACAAACATCTATCAGTTGCGTCACATAGACAGCATCTGTTTTACATCTGCATGCCTCTTGTAATTTTCATGTCAGACGACTTCACAATGTAGTCAACTCTCAATTTTTTTAACAATACAATAATGGATTATTAGGTCATATGTTTCATTCATTCTATCAATGAGTTTTCAACTTCTTATATGTTCACACATTAGCAGGTCATAAACAATTTCCAATAAAAGAATATGAAGCCACGTTCACATAAGAAAACTGTTTTAGTTAATATGAGAGAAGACAAGGTATGCATACATATAGTGAGAGACATGAAGTGAGAGAAAGCGGAGTAGAGGAATATTGTGAGAAGATGAGAGCATTCTATTATATGGTACCAGTATGGAGATGCAAGTATTGCTGAGTGCCTTATAAAGAATAACTTACGGGAGTTTCTGAATCCGTTGCTTGAAATACTCTGACAGATGATGTCTTATCACATGTTCGAGGAAATCCATACATAGTATCTGTTCCGACTACTTGACATGATACGGAAACATCTTCAGGTTTTCCTGATCTCCATTCAGAAACCAAGACACGTGGAGCGTCCTATAAACCAACTTAATTAATTAATATTGATAAAAGCCCTGACATTACAAAATTACAAAAAAAAAAGTAAAAATGCAAAAAAAAGAAAAGAGAACTTGATCGGTAAGTTCAAAAGCCATACATTGACGACTGTTAACGTGATGACGTAATTTACCGATATTCGCAACTAATTGTCACCATTTGTCGTTTTCCGACATAGTTTTTATAAGAATACGAGTCCGAATATGAAGATGACGTAATAATTAAATCTGATATGCATTGAGGACAATAAATGATTATAAACACAAAAATATGTTTTGTAGTTTGTTTAGGAAATTAGTCCGATGATGAGAAACAGAATGATGGCATGAGGAGGGAAAAAAATGTTTACGGAATAGATCAAGTGTGGTTTTGTTGAATATTTAATATTAAAAATGAGACTGTGGCAAATGGTATAGACATGAGGTGTTGTAAAGCATTCATGAAAGACTTCAAAAAGCTTTCTGATGATCGAAGAAAGTATATAAAATGAATAAAATAACTGTAAGAGGCTAACCTGTACGAAGTGCTCTGAAATAGGCCAACTAACAGTCCGCTCATCGCTCAGCGTCAAAAGCTCTTCTTGAATTTTGAAACGTGGATGAGCACAGTTTGCTGTAGTTAAGCATCCTTCACGCCAATCAACTTTCAAAAGCTCAGTTGTGATCCAGAAGGTTTCAGCGTTGACAGAAAAAGAACCAAACAGTATTAAGAATATGAGAGGCATATCTGTAAGCAGGAGTAATGAGATAGATGAAAGACATCAGGCACACAACGATAAAGAACGAATATAATATATATGGTTATTAGTGATTAAGCTGGTATGTATATGGGTAGGAGAGGTTCGAATAGCCAAGGTGAGTAAGTATTACAGGACAGGATAGAAGGAGGAGTTATGATGGGTCATAAGGCGGAGCTGTACTGACTATGCGGGACGCCAAATGTCATAAAGGTCTTCATCATATGGTAATTAAAGATATAAAGGTGGTATGTAGGCGAGATATAAGGATAAAGCTGGTCCTTATATGCGGCAAAATCGGATTTAATACAAAATTAGAGATAGATGGAGACGAATAAAAAAAGGCGGTCAAATTAACCATAGCCATAAGCAGGATAAGCTCCTGATGTAGTGAGCAGAAGCTGGAAGGAAGGTTGAGATTGTTGGAGACTAATGTGAAATGAAAGACCTTGATGATGACTATTTGAGGAAATAAAAAAGATTGAAGGTTGAAAAGAGGAAGCAAATCTGTTGTATCTGGATAACAGGTGGAAGGATATAACTGTTGAGTGTTACAGACAGGTAAAATCCGATGAAGGATGGGGATGAAGGTAGAGTATTAAGGCGAAGGAAGAATGTTAACTATATGATATCTTCGAGATAATATCCCTAATAGTCTTATTAAACGGATTTGTATATTCTAAGTGTATAATCTTTAAATTGCTGCTGTTAATAGGATGATGGGAGATATAGGAGGAATGAGAGAATATAGATGTTTGAGAGAGACAGAGAGAAAGAAAAAAATACTAACTATGCCTATAATAAAGATTATTCAAGTGACATCCAGTTAAACATATCTAATCGGGTGACAGTCAGATGAGTTTTTGAACGATCAAGTGAGAAGATAAGAAATAAGATGAGGACGATTATGTGCCTCCCGCAAGGTAAATTTGGGTAACTTTTGAGGGGCACACGATCAACAGCCATATCACACCTCATTCATCATATTGTAAGGCAATATTAATAAGAGATAAAGTGAAAAATGGCTAGTGAGCGAGGGTTAGCAAAAAGGTGAATAGGAAAGAGAGAAGTAATAGAGAGAGAGAGAGAGTGAGAGACAGAGATATATATATATATATATATATATATAGAGAGAGAGAGAGAGAGAAAGGAAGAAAGGGGAAGAGTTAGGTATCAGGAAAGCACAATGCTACAAAAGGTTAATTATAACTGATATAATTAACTACTGTTGGCGGTAAATTGACAAACAAAAGTTGGTAGAACGATAAGCTGGCACACGTCTGATGAACACAACTATTGATAAGGAGTTAATCTGATTATAATGGAAGAGAGAAAGAGACAGAGAGATGTTGGGGAGAAGCTTATAAGACAAAACAAAAGTTTGAAAAAAATACATCAGAATGATAAGAAACAGTTTAAAAACGAAAGATATGTAAATGAGATTATTATAAAATATGATATATAGTTAATTATATGAATAGTAGAAGATAATGATAGCAGAAATGAATAAAGAATGATTGTAGATGGTTGTCCTGAGAGCATCGCAACCATCAACATCCTCCCCTAACAGCCATCATCTGAAAGTATAACAAATTAGAAATAAAAAATTAAAAAAAAAAAAAATTAATTCAATGTAATTCGAGGTAATTTTGAGAACGAGATCGTAGCAATTGTTTAATTGAAAGCCATATAAAACAAAACGTGACCTTGTAAGAGCTAACGAGGAAAATGGGAAGAAGAAAAGAGGTGAATGATATCTCTCTCTCACTCTCTCTCTTTCTCTCTTTCAATGTTTCATCAAAATGATTATTAGCTTGTCAGATGATGTCTGTCAAAAAAATAGCTTCATCTCAATGCTATAATCAATTACTTGTATATGTGTGATATTATATCTCTCAAACAGTATCTGGAGGTAAGACCATTAGCGTTGAAGGAGTCAATAGTAAAAAAAATTTTTTTTTTTTTCAAATTTTTCTGAGGCAACAAGTGTATGGATAAGAATCTACAAAGAGTTTGATGACAAAAAGAAAATGATGAATTAAGAAGGAAATTCGGTTAAATGCCGTTTCGTGCAAAAGATTTTTGTGTTGATGATGATAATCATCTTCGCAGACAACGAAGAAACAAAAAAAAAAGAAAAGGAAGAAAAGGAAGAAATTAATCAAAACCTACTCTTGAGACGAAGAAACGTGATCAGTAGTGAGATGTATACAGATAAGTCATAGCAAAAAGAAATTATATTATTATTATTAAATTTAGTTTATTGGTGTCGGTATAGGTAAGGTAGTAAGATGTCTGTCTTGTAGACGAGTCTTTGGTTGGTATAGATAGATGAGTATGGTTATGATATGATTCATATAATGTTCGGCATAATTAAATAATAACTTCATGCTGTTACCTTATAATAGAACAATATTGAAATTAGAGAAATGCCGTCAATGTACATGAAATAGAAGATGTGACAAGTAGCTAATCTTGTCATGTTGTGATTGAAGGGGTGAGAAGATCAACAGCGGCATCATACAAAGCATTTCCCATACATTCTTTAATTATATTATTATTAACACATATTTAAAAGAACTATATATGTATATAGAATATATATTCATTGAATATGTAATGAGAGAGATAAGCTATTACTTTTCTATAGAGAGATACAGAAGATGGAGAGAATACGAAGATGACTTGTGATCCTCCTGTAGCTTACGAGCAAAAACCATTTTTTCACATCTTACATAAAGAGAGAGAGAGAGAGAGAGAGAGAGAACAAAGAGAGATTTACTTTCTAAGAGCATTTTCGATTATCAATAAACACATTCTCATTCATTATTTTCTTTTTTTTATTTGTTTATAAAATTAAGAAAATAACCAGCAGTCATCTTCATTCACTAAAGAAGGCCAATGAAATAGGGTGTTGATGGTCAGTTTCGTTGTCAGCCTCTTCTCTCTCTTCCTCTTTCTCTCTCTCTCTCTCTCTTCATCTATCTATCTATTTCTCATATATTTCAAAAAAAACAGATGATTTCATGAACATCAATTACATAATAAATGAGGAGACAAACCAATATTTATAAGGAAAGTCTTCACATTTCCATCCTTCTGTCACCAACCTTGTCATTTGCTTATAATCAAATTATACAATCTGTTACCATAGAAGGCTTTTTTTTTTCATATTCATCTTACAACTAATCTCATACAATAATTTTCTTATTTTCCTCTGTCTCTCTCCATCTCTCTCTCTCTCTCTATACATATATGTATATGAATCTCTCTCTCTCTCTCTATTTATGTTGGAAGAAACAAAATGAGAGAGTGAGAGGGAAACCAAAGAGAAAAAGAGAAATATAATTTTATTAACAATAAACACACATGCTTTCAACAAAAAACATTTGAATCTTAGCTCATTCATGGGAATGTTTCATTTCGATAACTCAGTACGCTCTCTCTCTATCTCTTTCTCTCTTTCTCTCTCTCTCTCTCTCTCTCTCTCTCTCTCTCTCTCTCTCT